TTGAAATTTGCTTTCATAATAAACATAAGCGAGAAACTTAACACAATGTTGATTTTATTATCCAATTCATTGAAAAATCACCGGTCAATCACACACTGCTTTTTTACCGATTCGAGTTTACTACAGTAAAAAGTTCTAAAAAACAGTCACATCTAATTTTTTTACTACAATAAAAAGCTCTCACATAAAGTCACATTTCAACTCAAATCAGCGAACTAAATGGATATCAAGTACGGATTTATAACTTAATTAAGATGTTTTGAGTAACTTTGATATCAGTTAACCATTCTTGTAAAAAAGAAGGGGTTTAGGCAAAATCCTCTCACAATAATCTAGTTAGCAATGGTCGTGAAGATTGAAGAAGAAGAAGAAGAATTTGGCTTGAGTTGCATGCGCGTGGGGGTGGATCATGCAACATATATAATGTTTACTTGAGCTTTACAAAATTTTCCTGTGTGTGCGTGACCGTGCATTGTCTTGTGACCTGTGAATGAGTGAGGGAGAGATCTGCAGGTCAGAAGACGCACATGGCTGCTGGGGTCCAAAGGCCAAAAATATTCTGAAAGAGCCTAATTTACATGGGCCCCGTTCACTTCACCATTCGAGTTTAGAATTCGAGTTTGGCTACAGTAAAAAATTTTAAAAAATAGTCACATTTAATTTTTTATTATAGTAAAAAGTTTTCACATAAAATCACATCTCAACTCGAATTAAAAATTCAAATCAGCGAACTAAACAGACCCATGATCAATTAGTCTCTTTCAATATGGTCAATTCATAACAAGAAAACGAGGGAAACCCCCCAAAAGCTTCAAAAAAAAAAAGATCCATAAAAAGATGTGTAAATTAACCAACCCTACGTACTTCACCAAAAACACAAGTGATCTTAACCGCCGGCAGCACCTCAATTTACCTTTCATTTCGCCATATATACATATGACAAAAGTAATTCCTATTATCCATATATAATATGTTTTTTTTTTCAAATTTAATTATTGTTGGATTGTTTGTAAGATTATTATAGTTAATTATTACTAAGTGTCATGCATGATTAATTAAGTCAAAAATTAGTTACTATCATCACATGTAACATATTTGGACAAATTACACGATTGCCTCTCAAACTTTAGACCGTGTAACAAAATACCCCATGAACTTCAATTTATAATATACGTTCCCTCGAATTAACTTTAAAAATCTTATTAATTTTCCCCTCCTGTTAAATTATGGACGGAAATTAACACGTGGTGCGCACCTGATGCCAATTTTAAGGGTATTTTAGTAAATGCATTAATAAATTTGTTATTGAGGTTCTTTTAACGCTTTTAAGCCCTCATTTTTTTTTTCCCAATTCAATCAAAACCCTAGAACTAAAGAAAGAAACCCAGAGCAAAAAAAAAAAAAAAAAGAAGCGAGAAGATTAGATTTGTCAACACAATATTTCAGACATATGCTTGGCAATCTGATTAAAGAATCAGTTTTTTTTCCTAAAAAAACAAAAACAAAAAAAAAACTACCAAATAAAGAAGGAAACTCTACGGCCTCCTAGAGAAGAATAGATTTGTCAACGCAATATTTCAGACATATGCTTGTCTAAATAAAAGAATTTAATCATCGGCCGCATAAAATCAAACAAAAATTTATAATCCTTGAACCAAATTTCTAACAAAAGGAAGAATTTTCAGAAACCAGAATAAGAAATTTGGGAGAAAAAGATTTTCTTGAAGATGAGAAGGAACTCGGAATATGGGTGGTGATATATCAGGATGGTCGGCAAGGGCTATAGAGCCCATTACAATGAACGAGACCTTTTATCACAATAATCATCACCGTCCCCAAATAAATCAATTCCAAACAAACAGATCAGAAACTGAAGAAGACTACTATGGAAGAAATTAGATAAATCTCCAAGTTCAGAGCAGCGAGGAAGAAAGATGAGAGATTTGTCAAAAAAAAAAAAAAAATATAACTTAATTCCATATTACTCTAATTTTAGGGGCAATTTTGTAATAGCATGCTTAATACCCTCACTCTTGCTACGAATTCGCGCCCAAGTGTCAATTTCCGTCCATAATTTAACAGAAGGGGAAAATTTGTAAGATTTCTAAAATTCAAGAAAAATAGATGTTACAAATTAAAATTCAAATGACATTTTGTTATACCCTCACTCTT